TGAGGGGAAAAGTTGACAATTTCCTGTCTACCTCCGACAGTGTGTTCTTTGCCTCGAGGCGCGACGCGCGGACTGGCACAACAAACAGCGAAGGTCTCATTTACCGCGGGGTGCCGGATGGACCTTCAGAGCAGAGCGTCCAGCCCCGGGGAGCTCCGGATTAATATTCAGATCCAGCCTGTGCTGTGCTGAAAGAAATCCGAATATTTTAACTCGCTTTGGACTTGATCTCGAGGGGACATCCAAGCCAGGCAATACAAGTGAAGCTGGCTGACGGCTCAGTCGACGTTTGCCCTCTGTAGTACTTCAATTTCTTGTCCGAAAATTGGCAATTAGGTGGGATCGAGTCGCATGGGGCCGTTTAGAGTAACCCGTTGATTCGCAAAAGCTTAAGAAAATATTGTTTGTTCTTCGGAGAACAGCACCGGTCGTGTCTAGTACACAGTGCTGTATTATAATTCATAATAGCCCCATCAACCTCTGCTACGGCAACGTCCAGTAAAGCAAGGGTCGTCTGTATGAGCCTTCCACAATCGTCTGAGAGGAGCGTAGCCGAAGCGTTATGTCTATAGACTTACCCGAGCGTCCATAAAGGTGGCAGAAAAGACCCCCTCGGACACAGCGACGTCAAGTGTAAGCAAAGGAGCGCAAAAGAGCTAAAGACGCTCTCAGCTAAAGGCGTTTTCAGCTTGAGACGTCTCTCGGTGAGAATTAAAGGGAACGCGCGACTAAAGGGGAGAAAAAATGGCACGCCACGAAATAAAGAAGTTTGAACCATCTCGAGCTTTTCCGTTGATCAAAAGTGCAAGTTTATTTGGTGGAAATCATTGTACGGATCTCTTTATGTGCGTTTTGTTCATTCAACGTAGTTTGTTTGGTCATGGGAAATGTGTGTATTCATATTAAATTATGTTTAATCGCATGATGAATCCTTTTTTCAAACAGGACCGGTATTTTTTTGCAAATCATCTCCTGTTCAAAATGTGCTTAATTTGTGGGAGACCATACATGCAGTAACTCTTATGGGTTTTCTCTTGGAAAACGTTTTCGGGACAACTGCTCGCCAAGATGCCATAAAAAACACATATCAGGAAATGTTTCGTTGCGAGTAACCTTAAGACACCCAAAGGGCCCTCGACCTGACATCCTTCTCACCTCCCTCCTTGGGGGTCATGTCGTATGCCCCACCCCCTCCCCTCTTCCGCCGACGGTGTTTTTGTGTGTGAATCTACATGTCTGCCCCCTCTGTTCTGTATTTTTGTATGTCTCTGTGCCTGTATGCCTTTGTCCTCTCCCCCCACTCAAAACCAACAACAACTTTTTTTAAACCGCGCTCTGTACTCATGTACATGTCTCTGTGTGTCTGCTCGTCCCCCTCCACCCCCCT